CTCTGCCCCACTCATCCCCTGCAGTCCTTCATGGCAAGGTCACCAAGGGTCTTCATCACCAACTGGACACGTTTGTTTATTGGACCTTGTTCCAGTATCTAAAAGTGACTCCTCCTTTCTTTGATGTATATATATACATTTTCTGATTGTAAAAGTTACATATGTTCATTGTGGGAATTTTTGCAAAAAGATACCTGTAATCTCTATCCAGGAAAGTGTTTGCTAGTTGAAATGTTTCTTTGACAACTGTCTTCTTCCTTTCCTTCTATTCTCTGGGCCATCCAGGCCTGTGTCAGTTTGCCTGCTGGATATCTCTCTCTCTGCAGCCACACAAGCCCAGCATTTCTTAAAACTCAACTTAAGCTCTGTCTCCCCTGCTCCACATCTGCTTAGCCACCTTTCTCATCATCTCATTGAAGGGTACCACTTTTTGTCCAGTTTCTGAAGCCATAAATTGAGGACTCATCTTTGACTCTTTTCCCTCACCCTCCATTTATAATAAGTAACTAAATCCTGTTTGTTTTTCCTTATTAATCCATTTACTTGTCTCTCCACTGATAACACCTTAGCTTGAGCTCTGATTATTTGGTTTCTCACCTGCCTTAGTAATCCAAAAGCATCATCCACTTTTGAACTTCTCAGGACTTTGCATATCTTCTTCCAGGGCCTAATTTAGGAAATTAGGGCTTCTCTGACCTGTTCCTATACACTCAAGGCTGAGCTTGGTGCTGGTGATCTCCTTCATCCCTGCATACATACCTCTCTCCTTCCTATTCTCCCCTCCCTCACGGTCAACCATTAGATCATGTGATCTCCTTGAGGGCAGTGACTATGTCTTATTCATAATTATATCCAGTCCGAGAGTGTTTAGTAAATTTCTGATAACAAATGGGTATAAGGAAATGAACATTTGTAAGGTGGTGGTTAGTGTGAAACAAAATTTGATGCTGTTACATTAGTTTTATGGTCCTGGCTGCTTTAAAATTTTACCTTGGTGATGTGCTTGGCTTTCATCTACTTGATCCTATGGTAATTGTTCTGTGAACAAGCTTCCAAAGTGTGAAGTATGGTAGGGTAAACAGCGTTGGGGGGTAAACTGTATACCCGTATACCTGCCATGGGAGGCTTTTGAACCAGCAGTATAGCAGAGATAAAATGGCTGCATAAACTGGGGCAGTTGTGGTAGGGATGAAGAAGAGGGGGCATTTCAGTGATTTGTTGATTGGATGTGGAGGGCAGGGAGGAAGAATCTGTCACTCAAGTTTTTGGCTTAGTTGGCTAGGTACTTGGTGCTGTCATTAACTGGTCATATGGATTTTCAGCTTTTTTTTTTTTTTGACATCCAGGTGAGTATGTCGACCAGGCGATAAGATAGGAAGTTTGGGAGAGTTCTACACTGGAGGTGAAGGTTGGGGAGTCATCAGAGATCACTTGGACAGACTTACAGCTTAAGAACAGTAATGGTCTAGAAAAATAAAGAACTCTGAGGAACAGCAGTGTTTAAGGGCCAGGGATGAAGAGAGCCAGGAAGGCGGTGTCAGTAAAACTGAGGAGTTACATAGTTTGAGAGGGGATTTGGCAATAAAAAGGTCAGTGACTTTTTTGTGTTTTAAAGAGAGAATAAGAAGTAACAATATGGTCTGTCTTTATCTAGTCCTTAAAACACAGATGTTCCGATCCAGACTGTCTGCGTGGCTTTTTGTTGGGTGGTTTTACCTCACCTAGTTGTAGCCCAGGACCCCAGCCCAAATCTAGAAAGAGCCCCACTAACATTCTTACATTGAATCTCATACATGACATCAGTAGTCCCTTCTAAATTAAATATAAAATTAAAAACAGATTCTGACTACAATGAGACACCACTTCATACCTGCTGGTATGGCCATAAGACAAACAAAACAAACAAAAAATGGAAAATAGCAAGTATTGGGTGAGGATGTGGAGAAATTGGAACCCTTGCGCAGTGGGGTGCCCCTGTGGAAAACAGTTTGGTGGTTCCTCAAAAAGTTAACTACAGAGTTACCATCTTAGCTAGCAGTTCTACTCCTGTACTCAAAAGAATTAAAAATAGGTACTCCAACAAATACATGTAACGTGCATGTTCATAGGAGCATTATTCACAACAGCCAAAAGGTGGAAACAGCGCAGATGTCCATCAACAGATGAATGGATAAACAAATTGTGGTATCTGTACCATGGAATATTATTCAGCCATAAAAATGAAAAAAGTACTAATAAGTGCTACAATGTGGATGATAACATTATGCTAAGTGATAAAAGCCACAAAAGGTCACATATTATATGATTCCATTTATATGAGATATCCTGAACAGGTAAATCGAGAGACAGAAAGTAGATTGGTGTTGCCAGTGGCTGGAGGGAGGGGGAGGAGGAGTATGGGGAGTAACTGCTTGATGGGTATAGGTTTTCCTTTTAGGGTGATGAAAAAGTTTTGAAACTACATAGAGGTTGTGGTTGTACAACATTGTGAATGTACTAAATGCCACTAAATTCTTCAGTTAAAATGGATAATTTTATGTTATATGAATTTCATCTCAATTTAAAAGTACCAAAAAAATAAAGTAAAAAAAACCCACCTAGATTCTGGGCCCCGTCCCAGAAATTCTGATGCAGTGAGCCCAGGGATCTTGATTTTATAAACTGACCTTTTTGAGATTCTAAGGAACATTGCCGTGTAGGCGTTATAAACCTGCATTTTATTTAATTGCAAGAGAACAGGACTTCATTATAGCGAATTTTTAAAATACAATTGTGCTGAAGAGATTGGCAACCATGGAAACCTGGGTGGAGCTTTCCCCCAGTGTCTGTTTTGTGTGGGTGAGGGTGTAGGGTGTGGGGAAAGCATCACCATCTGGTGTAATCTGTTGGAGATTTAAAGTTTTATTTTGTGGATTTTTGCAGCAGATGCCCCTGGTGCCCTGTGTGCTGTCCTCTTGCTCCACTGCTGATTTCAACCAGAACTCTTAATTTCTGCAGATTTTTCACTGAAAGTCTTGCCCAGTACCTGTTTTCTGCCTCAGGGCCTTCAAACCCAGGAAGAGGAGGGTGAAGGTTAATGCTCCAGGCAACCTTTAGCCAGTTGTTAACAGGAGCCTAAATGTTCTGCTTCCTTCAGGGGTGCTACAGAATTACCTCCCACCCTCCAGCAGTCACCTTGATCATGTGTCCTTTTTGGCTTTTGTCCTTTCCTGTTAAACCTCTTCTTCCCTGTCTTGTTCCCTGGGATCATCTCCTGTTTTAACACTGCTCAAAACTTGTATATAAGTATTATGCCAGTTGGGCTGACTTTACAAGTTAATAAATGCAAACAGAATCTTTCTGTAATTACAATGGTTTCTTCTTAATGTCCTCATCTATCAATAATAGCATCTAAAATAATGTGTGGGGGAGAAAGATGAAGAGAACATACTGTGCAATGCAAAATGGCACACGTTGCTAAAGTTGAAATTAAATTTATTCACAGGCACTCATGTAATCATTATGTGAGAATTTATTGGATTTTTCAGGAGAAAAAGCTATTACTTGTGTGTACAGCTCAGCATCTTCCATTTCTTTCATTTCACTTGGAGAGGGGTTGAGGGAATATGAAAAACAAAGTTGGCACAGAGAGACAGCACTAGATGTGCCTCTTTTATTCATTTATGTCATTTTGTTCTTGATTTCTGGGTGGTTCTTTTTGTAAGACTAAACTCTAGAATAGAATAGAGTAGAATTCTGCTATGGTACAGAGCTGGGGAAGATCTCTGCAGATGCTCGGGATACAAATTGCCAAAGATCAGAAAAGCTGATCATAACAGCCATGCTCTTAACCGCTGGGCCACCAGGGCTCCCCACTCTTGGCCAGGGGACTGTTTTCCTGAACTAGTGAAAAAATCATTTTTAGAATTAGTAGGGATTATGGGTTCTATTTTCTGATTTGAGATATTCGCAGGAAATTTGACAGTTAAAAAAATTTATACAAATTATTTAAAAAATCAAGACTAATAGGTGGGCAAAGTACATAAGCAAATAAGTGAAAAATTACAAACATCTAAGTATTCAACAGTAGAGAAATAGTTTAGAAAACTGTATAACAGTTTTGATGAACTCTTGTGCAATCAGTAAAAGGCTAGTCATGATAACCTAGAAAGAAATAGTGATAAGTAACCTACTAGCGTGGGACTGTGGATGTCATGGATTGAATTGTGTCCCCCAGAAATATGTGTCAGCTTGGTTAGGCCATGATTCTCAGTATTGTGTGGTTGTCCTCCATTTTGTGATTGTAATTTTATGTTAAAGAGGATTAGGGTGGGACTGTAAGACCCTTACTAAGGTCCACTGTAAAGGGAGTTTCCCTGGGGTGTGACGTACACCACCTTCATCTTACAAGAGATGAAAAGGAAGCAAGCAGAGAGGGGGGACCTAATACTACCAAGAAAGCAGTGCTCGGGAGCAGAGTGCATCCCTTGGATGCAGGCTTCCTGCGCAAAGCAGCTCCTAGTCCAGAGGAAGATTGATGATGACTTTCCTCCAGAGCCAGAGAGAGAAAGCCTTCCCCTGGAGCTGCTGCCCTGAATTTGGACTTGTAGCCTACTAGACTGTGAGAAGATAAATTTTGCTTTGTTGAAGCCATCCACTTGTGGTATTTCTGTTATAGCAGCACTAGATGACTAAGACAGTGAGATTTCCTTTTATGTTTTCCTTTCTTCTATATTATGCCCTGTACTTCCTTACTGTGATGTTTTCAGTAAGTTCAAATTTCTTTAAATTTAAAGGGCTAATTTTCTGGCCTATACACCATGGAAAGTGGTTATTTTGCTTTTGTTATTCTTGAGCTGTGCATTAAAAACTAGCTGAAATGAGAAGAGTTGGTAAAGATTTAGAGAACTGGTAGAAAATGTTTCTACTACTTACTAGAGACATCTTGGCTTAAACTAAAAAAAAAAATTTTTTTCTAACAAGATTGGTTTCTTAATCAAATCTGTGTTTTTTTCCTCTAGGGCCTCTGTTATGCACCTAAAGCCATACTGGAAACTCCAGAAGAAAGAGCTACCTCTGGAAATCAGCAAAGAAACACTGAGAACGCCCATGAGCCACCAAAGGGGGGCTGTAAATGATGAAACGTGCAGAGCGAGCTCTGTGAAACCAAGTGTCTTTCCTTCAGCCTCTCTTGGTAAAGCATCATCTCGAAAGCCTCTTGGGATCATTTCTCCAAATGTTCTGTGCAGTATGAGTGGGAAGAGTCCTGTAGAGAGCAGCTTGAGTATTAAAACTAAAAAGAATGTACCACCTGCAACAATCCACCAGGGTGAAGAAGGGGAAGGGCCACTTGATATCTGGGCCGTTGTGAAACCAGGAAATACCAAGGAGAAAATTGCATTCTTTGCAGCCCACCAGTGTAGCAATAGGATAGGATCTATGAAAATTAAAAGCTCCTGGGATATAGATGGGAGAGCTACTAAAAGAAGGAAAAAATCAGGGGATCTTAAAAAAGCCAAGATACAATTAGAAAGGATGAGGGAAGTCAACAGCAGGTGCTACCAGCCTGAGCCTTTTGCGTGTGGCATTGAGCACTGTTCTGTGCATTATGTGAGTGACAGTGGGGACGGTGTGTATGCAGGGAGGCCTCTGTCGGTCATACAGATGGTTGCCTTCCTTGAGCAAAGAGCCAGTGCTCTGCTAGCCAGCTGTGCGAAAAACTGCACAAACTCACCTGCTGTTGTGAGGTTTTCTGGGCAGTCCAGAGGTGTGTCCCCATCCTCTGAGCCCTTCTCTGCCCCAGGAGCCTGTGAAGAACCTACAGAAAGGGGACATCCTGAAGTTGGCGAACCCCAGAGCGAGCCAGTCCGCGTCCTCGACATGGTGGCCAGGCTAGAGTCAGAGTGCCTGAAGCAGCAGAGCCAGCGTGAGCCTGGGAGCCTCTCGAGGAATAACAGCTTCCGTCGCAACGTGGGCCGGGTGTTGCTAGCAAATGGCACTCAGGCTGATGAAGGCAAAACAAAAAAAGGCACCTTGGAGCCACCTGATACTCAGGTGGCTCCTGTAGGGTCTGTATCTGAGGACTGTGGTCCCTCAAGAGCTGACCAGTGTTCTCCTAAGGGGGACCAGGCCTGGGATGGCACTCCTCGGGGCTGTCCTTCATTGCCAGCAGGTGTGAATTTCCACATGGACGGTGCAGAGATGGAGCCAGGTCAGCAAACTGCCATGAAAAATAGCAATAGGTATGATGTAGAAATGACAGAGGAACTTGTTGGGTCACCCTTTCCTCCTCGCACGTGTCCCCAAGCCACTGAATTGCCCGCAGATGCTGTTGGTTGTATGAGTAGAGAGCTTGTGCCGCTTACTAGCCAAAATCCTGATCAGAGAAGAAAAGAATCTTCGTGCATTAGTATCACTGTGTCCAAGGCAGAGAAAGACCAGCCGCCTAGTTTAAACCCCTGTGGCGACCCACTTCCAGGGATGTTGTTTTTTTTGCCACCTGCTCAGCAGGAGTTGGACTGTTCGCTGTTGAATGAAAACACAAGAGAGTCTTCAGAGGCCAGCCAGCTTGAAGATGCTGCTGAGGTTGATAGTGCATCTGAGGAAAAAAATGTCTCAGCTGAGCCATTTGTCCTGCCGGCTTCTTCTGTGCAAAGTACATTACCGGTGCTTGAGGTATCTAGTTGGAAGAAGCAGGTATCTCATGACTTTCTGGAGACCAGGTTTAAAATCCAGCAGCTTTTGGAGCCTCAGCAGTACATGGCCTTTCTGCCTCACCACATTATGGTGAAAATCTTCAGGTTGCTTCCCACCAAGAGTTTAGTGGCTCTTAAATGTACCTGCTGCTATTTTAAGTTCATCATTGAATACTACAACATCAGGCCAGCAGATTCTCGCTGGGTACGAGATCCGCGCTATCGAGAGGATCCTTGCAAGCAGTGCAAGAAAAAGTATGTGAAGGGAGATGTGTCCCTGTGCAGGTGGCACCCCAAGCCCTATTGCCAGGCATTGCCCTATGGGCCAGGATACTGGATGTGTTGTCACCGGTCTCAGAAGGGCTTTCCTGGCTGTAAGCTGGGGCTTCATGACAATCACTGGGTCCCTGCCTGCCACACCTTTAATCGGGCAATCCATAAGAAAGCAAAAGGGACTGAAACTGAAGAGGAATATTAAAGTCTAAGCAAGAGGCAACAAAAGGACCGATTTTTTAAAACTGTAAACATACCACCCAGATACACCGTTGAAGTGAGTGTTGCCTCTCAGAGTTGTCACTGTAGGAGAATCTGTACCTACTCCACCAGGATTGCCATTGCTCAGGCGATTTTTAAATGCAGATTTGCCAGCTGTACAAGAAAGTTGGTGTTCTACGTGGCACCTCACATCTGATCCAGGGTGGTATCCCACAGTTTGATTCACTTAGCTGTGAATAACTATCCCTGTTTTCCTAAATCAAATCCCTCCTCAAAGGACAGAGACTTGCCACCATCAAGGACATTTAGAAGAGTACACTGTGTCCTCTGCAGGCAGTCCCCAAAAAGGGATTCCAGAAAGGTTTCATGCAGTGGCACCACATTTGAAATACGCGGATAGTGTCCTATGGAAAGAATAGCATCACTCTTGGGTGAAAAGTATGCTTAAAAAGGGAGAGCCGGGCACCTTACCTTAGACCTTGTATGCTTGATCTGTGAGATTGATGTTTGTGGTGGGAAATGGATTTCATGCCCTTTGGTGTTTACAGTGTATATAATTGTTGTGTTTTCATAGGGCTATGAAACTGCACATTAAACTCAGCGCCTTTACCTTTAGATGAGTGCTTTTGGCCCCTCTGTAAATAACACTATGAAAATTCAGTTGTATATAAGGACAGCTGACTGAACAACATAATCATCACAATGCAGCTAGGATAGTGTTGCGGCTATAATCATGTGTTTTTTATCGTCTCGTCTCAAATTTGTACATCCTGTATAAAATAAGAATGTTTCCCAAATAAACTATGAATGTTTCCTTTATAATATATGAATGTTTCTGAGAAGAAACTCTAAATAGTTAAGAGGTTAACCTATTCAAAGGATACCAAATAATGGTTTAACTGGACAACCTTAAAATTAGTTTAGAGGACAATCCTTTGTTATATTTTAGTGATCCACCAAGAATATTATATAGTCAGATTATACCATTCTTGTCTATCCTGTCTGGTTACTTTTTTTTTTTTTTAACTTCAATAAAAACATACATCTTAAACGGGATCTGAGTTTTGCAAAGATTTTTCCCCTCTTTTTTTTTGAAGGATTTTGTGATACAGTCTAAAAACTTGCTGTTTGAGTTGTTAGTGAAGAGGGGAAAGAAAAAAAATTTTTTTCTTTGTCTGCCACCAAGAAATGACTATCTTCATTTAACATTATAAGCTTGAATTTTTGCAACCTTATAACACTTATTATGGAGCTTGTTTGCCCAACACCCATTATTTCCTGTTGGGTGAGGTATGATCTAGGATGTGCTTACAACTTGTCCAGGCATAATTAATAGTTCAGAAGTCATCGAGGATCTACTCAGGCCTGTGGTCATGTAGTGCTTGGCAGGTGTGCGAGGTACTGGGCCCCGGAAAACTGCTGTGGAGGAGCTAAAAACTAGGTTGGCTTGAAATCGAGTGCCCACCAGAAAACCTTACGACCAGTGTAAGCTCCAGGCTGTTGGTAAATGTTTTAGGGGGAGGGGTTGATGGGTAAATGACGCATGAGGGCTGTGATAGTCCCAAAGGAGAAACATGTTAAGGTTGAGCAGCCTTTGGTCAGCTATAAGGTCTGCCAGGCAGATTGTGGCTGGACTGGAGCCATGTGGAGTCAGGTTCACCCGCAGCTGAGGTGATGGGCACAGAGTGGCTTCCAAACTGGAATCTGCCTTGACCTCCTCTGCCCTCATCCTTAGGTGGTAACTGCTTCCTGGCTCATTGGATTTGTCTATGAGGAGTGAGGAAAGGATGAGAACAGCTTGCTTTTCCTTTAAAATACCAGTCAGTATATTTCCTCATAACCCACCCTAGCTAAGGTATGTTCGAAAATGCTTTTAAACCCTAGTATCCCCTGGGCTCAAGCTTCTAGTCCTGCTCCTCTTTGGTTTGCTCTAAACTGGCAATCTCAGTGGTACCTTCCTTAGAGGTTTGTTATGATTCAATATTTATGAAGGTGAAATGAGATAATGCACATAAAGTACTTAGAGTGCAGCCTGGCATGTGGAAAGTGCCCAATAAATGTTAGCTATCATTGTTCCTCGCTCTGGGTTCCACATTGCCCTGTGTGGACACAGGGCAAACAACTCAGCTGGTTTTCCTGAGTCAGCCATTCCTAATCTGGTTTTCCCGTGACTGCATGAGGGACTGAACTGACCAGGAGTAGAGAGCACAGTGAGAATGCCCCAAGCCCATCTTGGCATGTACTGATGACCTGTTTTGAGCTGTGTGGCAGGAACTTAGCTGTCTGCATGAATGATGTTGTTGTTCGGTGCTGTCAAGTTGGTTCTGACTCATGGGAACCCTATAGGGCAGAGTAGAACTGCCCCATAGCATTTCCAGGGAGTGGCTGGTGGATTTGAACTGCCAACCTTTTGGGTAGCAGCCAAGCTCTTAACCACTCCGCCAGCGGGGCTCCGCATGAATGATAGAGGAAGAATTTAGCAGGAGAGAACAGGTGGCATCAGAAGGCATCCCCTCCCTGGTCTTCATTTCTAGATAAGTGTAGCTTTTCTCTTAGGAGAAAGATAGTGTGCTTCAGGGCCCCCTAGTGCCAAGCTGGTGTAAATAGCCTACTTTTTATTTTCTGCAACATTGCAGCGCTACCTGCCTTCCTGCATTGCTGGAGGATCATAGACTAAAAGAAAACAACTCCCTGCAAAAAAAAACAAACTTATCCTCTTAAGCCTTTGCTGATACTCTAGCCTAGTTTTTCTTTCCCACCTTTAAGCCCTTACCTGTGAAGGAAACCAGAATGAGAGAGCACAGGAAGAATCAGCTCCTCCTCCCCCATTTCTCGGGCAGTTTGGCTTTGTCCCCTGCCCAGCGGATGAGACCAGAGAGCCAAGGAAGGAGTGAATAGAAATAGGAGGAGGGCTAAGGTAAGATGAATCTTTGCTTATTCAGTCCTTGGCAAAATGACTAGCCTTAAAAGGGCTATATCAAAGGACCTCCAAGAATTACCATGCATCCCGTGTTAGCACACTGATGGCTGGGTGCTCAGGAGGCACCTCCTTTTGGGAAACTCAACCCTGTCCCCTGTCCCCTTTCCCCCATGCACCAGGTTTGGCTGAGTGCCTTTCAGCACTGCATGCCCCTTTTTATCATTGTACATGGGTCTCCTCCCTGAGCTCCAGGTTTGGAGAGGGCAGCTTGTTCTTGCCACCCCTCAGTGTCACATACACAGCACATGCTCCAGAAAGGTTTGCTTTCCTCTCTAATGACCATTTCAGTGTGAATGGGTGCTGGCAGGTTCTGACTGCTGTGGACCATACTGTCATTTTCCATTCAGCACAAGAAACTCAAAGGCAGGATAAAGGATTCTTTCTCTGGCTAACTGCTGGTCCCATGGGCATATTCTTGCTTAGGGGAACTCTCGTGGCAAGCCGGGGGGTTTTGCTCAGTGACTGTTGATTATGCATTTGGTATAATCTAGGCTCTACTGTGGCCAGTGGAAACCCTGGTAGTGCAGTGGTTAAGAGCTACAGCTGCTAACCAAAGGGTTGGCAGTTCGAATCCACCAGGCACCCCTTGGAAACCCTATGGGGCAGTTCTGCTCTATCCTATAGGGTCGCTATGAGTCAGAATCAAGTTGACAGCAGTGGGTTGAGTTTTGGTTATTGAGGCCAGTAACTCTTCTGGCAGCTGAGATGGTTTGGGCTTATTGACTGCAGAAGGATACGGCTGATGGTTACGGCATGCCCTAGGAGTTCCCACCTGGGCTCTGTCCAGTCACCCCCTGCAGCTCATCTTCACTCAGCAAACTGCTTTTCGTCTTCTCTCTCATCTCACAGCCTGCCTCAAAAACATAATAAACCCTTCTTTCCATACACCACAGACTACAACAATAGTAAGAGGTGATATTTATCTAGCTCTTATGTATTTCAGGTACCATGCCAAGTTTAAACACATTCTGTATCGGGCACAGTGCCTGGCACTCAGGGAATTTGATGGTTTCTGTGTGTTTTTCCTTTCCTTTCAAATAAGCGAATGTTGGCAGTCTCTGGGAGTCGGCTGAAGGTACCTGTGTGGGAAGCGTGCAGCCCTCCCGTTGACGCGTGCTGTTCCTAGGTTTGCGGCCATAGCTGGTGTTTGCACAGCCTCGTGGGGACAGCAGACATTGTGGTGATGCCCCCCTGGGTGACTTCCAGTGTATTGATACCTAACTGGTGGTATACTGGTTAAGAGCTACGGCTGCTAACCAAAAGGTGGGCAGTTCAAATCCACCAGCCGCTCCTTGGAAACCACATGGGGCAGTTCTGCTGTGTCCTGTAGGGTCACTATAAGTCGGAATTGACTCGATGGCAGTGGGTTTGGTGGTTTTTGTTTAAGCAAAACCATAGGTGGCAGCACCACCATTCTAGGCGGTTTGTTTGACCTTGGTGTTATTTTTGGGGGAGCGGAAGCCACTAGAGTTGGTAGCAAAGGAGGAAGGACAAAGAACTGGAACGGGGGACAGAGATGGCAGTCCCTTATACTGCAGTCTTTTTCCCCAAAAAGAGGTCCCCATCCATGCTTTAATTAGCAGAGAACAGCCCTTAGGAAAAATTAGTTTGGGAACTTAATCTCAAATTCTTTTTGTAAATAAGGTGGGCTCTTAAAAAAGTAAAACATTAGAAGGCTCAACTAAATGTTCTGTTTTTCTGTTTGGAATGATGAAACACAGCAGGGATTGGTTTCTAAAGTTAGCATGTGAGGGAAAATGGCATATGGCTAAAATTACTCTTGAAAATTCTTTGGCCATCACCCAGTAGAGGATTCTATATAAGGGGCAGTGATAGGTGGCATGTGACGTCTCATAAGATGCTCATGTTGAGTGATGCACTTTGAGCAGAAACTGAGACTTGGGGACTAGTAGATTCCATCTACTAGTTATTTGGGGTAGAATCGCCTGTGCTATTTAAATTATTTCCCTCCTTTCTGACCCCCTCCCCCACTGTATCAGAACCAGATGGTTGTTTTATGAACTCGTATCTGAGTCTCAGATACCTTTTCAGTAGTATGAAGAGGTTGATGCAGTTATTCAAACACCAAAATCAAACCAGTTAGTTGCCAAACAATCAGTAAAATGAAAAGGTTATAATTAATTGTATCTGCCCCTTATCTGCTGTGAGGTTGGGTGTTCCATCTGTATAACTCAGTGTTTACAGACTGTCACTGTCTGGTGCAAGGGTCAGGATGGAGCCAGGCCTGGCCTACCAGCTTTCCCTGTTCTGAGACAGGCTGTTGGCCTTCACTCTGCCCTTGCTCACCAATCCTCTATGCAGGCAACCAAGCATGACCCTGCTGCAGGGTGTGTGGCCTGCCATGAACAATTCTCCTTTACTCTCCTTCAGAGCAGAGGTGGTGACTGGGCCACCCTGACTCCCAAGCTGTGACCTCTCACGTAACCTTTTTCTCTTCCATGGCCAGTAGTTTTGGCTACAGGCCCCTCAACTTTCTTCCAGTCTGTGCTCTCCATTGCACAGGGTCTCAACAAGAAACAGTTGGCACACACAAAATGAGAGGATTCGAGGAGAGCTTATAAGGGATAGATACAAGGACAAGCCCTCCTCATTATTTGCGGCACCAGGGTAAGACTACAAAGAGAGGACCCTCCTGCAGCCCACCCTCTTTTCTTCCCATCCCAACTTTGTTCCTCACCCAGTGCAGTCCTACCGTCTTCACACAGCCAGCCCTTGGCCACCTTTCAGGCTTGGATCTTCTCTTCCGAAGGACAGAACTGGGGACAGCGCCCTGGAAGCCCTGGGTTCCAGGAACCCAGAAATGCAGGTTCCAGGAGGGCCCATCCCCTTGGTCCTGCAAACTCTTTGCCCAGGGAAGAGAGGCCCAGCAGCAGAGCTAAGGGGGGTGGGTCCTTCTAAAGTTCAGGAGCCAGTGCAGGGGCCCCAGCTGCCTGGGTCAAAGGCAGTACTGGGCAGGCTAGTGATTTCTTAATTTTGGCTGGACATTAGAGTCACCTGTGGAGCTTTGCAAACTCCCAATGCTTAGGCCCCACACTAGACATATTAAATCA